CTGCGTCCTTAAAAATGTCTCTTTTCACTTCGCTCGCGGGTTCCGTTTTGATTATTTTTTGAGCTTCGTATCCATTGTTATCTACAATGTTCCGTGAGTGGTGTTGAAAATCATCGTCAATTTTCTTAACTGTCCATAAATCAATGCTGGGCTTGACGTCTTGGCATTCCAAGACAATTTCTAGGTCTTTATTGAGTTCACTTTCGTGTCTATCTTTATATCCTCGAAGAATTTGTCTCTGGAATGAAATGGGAGTTATGTGGACATTTTCAAAAATGTTGATAATGCTGGTCGTATAAAATTATCAACACTTACTGGATTTTCTTGCAGAAATCTCGAGTATTGAAAGTTTCCAGTATCGGATGAGTTGGCAATATTTTTGTAATCGTCTTCGGTAAACGACACATCACAAGGCTCGTCTTTCACTCTATAATATTTTCATTGCTATTCAGTATTATTTTATGATATTCAATCGTCAAAAATGTATAATACCTGACGGCGCCGCTGAATAAACCACAGGAGTCCATGTTTCTCATTTGGAATTTTCTTAAAGACTGATCGTTCGATAGTAATTTGACACATCGGGCTAGGTAACTTAAATTGAATAATACTTACGAATCATGATTTCCAATTTGACCTAATGAATTTAAACAAGGCAAAGCCCGCAGTAGTTATATTATATCAGAAGAAAATACATTATGTATTTGATACTAAATATTTTTCTATTAATGATCATAAAATTTAAGAATCAGTATCGGTGAATTGTCGATAAAAAAGCCATCTAATACTTGCGTACGCTTATATTTAATGTGTCTCTTTACGCTTCATACAGGTACAGCTATTCTGATTAAAATGCTCTTGAGGCAATGACGTTTTTTTTTTCGTAATCCAAAGCGCGGTGTAATTTATCTGAATTCCATAACCATTAAGAAAAAAATGCATTCCTCCGTTCTCCAACAGACTTGATTTGAATCGACATTTATAGCAAAAAAAAGGTGCACAGAATGAGAGAAAGAAAAAGACTGAGATAGAGAGACAAGGAGAGAGTGAGTAAACTCGTAAACCGCGTTCTAAAAATAACAACTCTCTGTATATCCCCCTGCCTTTGTTGTCTCTCTCTCTCTCTCTTTCTCTCTCGGCGTGGCAGGGTAAATGCATATAAAGTAATTAAATTCCTTACCATCACAACAGAGAGTGACGGTGAATAATGAACGTCGACGTTCGGAATGATTCGGTTGCATACACAAAACTTTTTACTCCTCGTAGTCTGTATACGCTCTCAATTTCTTTCTAGTGCGCATCTCGCCTTTCAGGTGCTAGTCGATGTAAATATAAGCCTGAAAATGTTGAATAAACGGATAATTACGATGGAAAATTTCTACACCTTTCGATAAAAATTACAACCCGATGGAATAGCATTATGGTTGCCGCAACTATCGTGCAAGCATCAAGAAATGTCATCACGGGTCAAATGCACATTTCTAAGGCAGGCACAATGTCGGCAAATTATATTCGAATCGGTAGCCGTTATAAGTGGTGTATGTAACAGGCTATATATATTTATACGATCGCTGTCATCTTCAAGCGCGTCGCGCGGGGAGAGAAAGTGAAAGGTTAAATACGGTATAAATACAGCGGTGCGAGTTTTGTGCATAAAGAACACGCGTACACGAGCCCTCTAGTTATCCTTTTTATGACTCGATGGTATATCTAATGTAAACAGAAATTAGTCGAAAGCCGTGTGATTGGCCGGTTTATGTTTTTAAGGGGGAGTCTGCGCTACGTGTCACCTCTAAAATTATTTTAAAGTATCTGCCATTAAAATAAATTTAATCGATTTTTCGCGTATCGCAAACTCTATTCGTGTGAATAATTTTCAATAAGAACCGAAAGAAACGTCGATTAACGAGAAAATTATTTAAGAGAGTGAAAAGGGATTTGACTACTTCTCTCTAAGCACCGTTGCTATATTAGTAAAATTCATCCAAGTCCCAAAATCCCCGTGATCGAGCTATCCTCGTGGCCGCGGCGAGCACACCACGACCGCACGCGAATGTGTTTTTGCGCGCGAGCTCAGACATACACACGCTTTCGGAGTGTATGTATGTAATACACATGGACGCCTCTCTCTTTTTTCTCGCGAGCCTACCTTAACCCACCTTAACCATCGTCCTTTCCTCGCTGCTGCTGCTACTGCCGCTGCTGCACGCGAAATATGGCAAACTCTATTTTTTTTTCTTTCTTTCCTTTCCTCGCGCTCTCGCTCCCTCTTTTTCTTCGCTGTAGGCCCCCCGAAGCAGTACTCACGTTTACAGCCGCAGCCTTGAAAATTTTTCTTGGCCACCTATATAATATGTATGACACTACCCCTCTGATATTTTTCTTCTCTCTCGCAAGCGTGCTTACGTATACTTTCATTGCGCTGCGCATTTTGGTTCAGGGCCGTGTACATGCCTGAGATTGGAATATCAGCATTGTACTATGGCTTCTCTTTTTCAAAAATTAATTTATTATCATCCGAATATACATATACGAATAAAATTGTAATAACTCGAGATCCTTTCTGTTTCGTTAACAATTTTTGATTATAATACGAGAGATGCGTCGTGGCAAGGCAATCGAATCGCGTTGCATTGAAATCGTGCGAACTTTTGCCCGCTTTTTCCTCGATTGATTTTGTGCTTTTGTTTTCCCTCTTCTGTTTACTGCGCTCGGAAATAAGCGCGCGCGCAAAAAAGGCAGTAAAAAGTAGATAACCATTACCGGCACGAGGTCAGCGCGCGATGGAATATAATTCGAAAGTTATATAATCCACGATTCCGGAGAAAACGAGAGACAGAGACGAGCGCGAGTACTACTGCCACTGGGCGCGCTGTAGCAGCAGCAGCAGCAGCAGCCCACGACCAAGGATTTCCTCCCGGTTTAAATTTATACACTCTCGACGCATATGACCCGAAGCTATAACGTGATCCATTGCAATCAGATTTTACACGTGTATGTCTCTCTCTCTCTCTCTTGTTCCTTCTGGTCTTATTTTGTCTGCTGTCTCGCTGCTGCTGCTGTGGCTTGTACCATCAACTGCGCGTAACGTAACTTGGCAACGTCGGCGTGTGTCACGCCGCCGTTTTCTCACGAGCAAGTAGCGCGTATACTTTGGGCTCCTTGTATCAATTTGAACCCTTTTTTATCTCACCACTGTTGATACTATCTCGCGATTGGTGGTCACAAAAAACATCGCTATTATGTTCGTTTATAATTCGAAATGAAGATGATTTTCAACTCTTGCCTTCGGGAAGAAATGTTAAAATTCTTTCATCAATTTCGATGTATCGATATTCGAAAAGAACTCTCGAGTATGGTGTCTTTGGAGAAAAACGATATTGCAAAAAGTGGTACGTGTACAATGAAAATTGCTATACTCGATGAAAATGTTTGACCGTACTTGTCGACATAATTATTAGGAAATATTACTATAGTTATAGTAATTTTTACCATCCATTTTGTCATTAGACAGGAAGATTTACGCCACTGTTTTCGGTCAATAATTGATATCAACAACTCAATTTCTACGTAAGAAAACAACTACAAAGTTGACCGAAAATAAGGGCGTACACCTTATAGCATAGAGAGTATAGTAATTTTTTATTATACACACGGTACTTTTTATAATATAGCATCTCTCTCGGTGTAAGTTTTACACATATATAACGATCAGGTACGTATCTGTGTTTGATTCTGCGTGAGCGACGAATTCTTTTTTGTATACGAGTGCACTCGGATTAGTATACGACCACGAGAGAAAGAGAGACGCGTTTGTGCGTGTGTTTACGCAAGCTCGCGTGGCTGCAGCGAAATTCGCAAGTCTCTATCTGGACATTCGCAGCAGTGGATAATATATTCAAGGGACATTTATAGCCACATCCGTTGTTGTTGCACGTATACATATACATATATATATACACACACATGCAGCAACAGCAGCACCAGAACGGAAGGTAGAAAGAACGAACACGAGCGAGAGAAGAGACGATTCGCATTAAATGCGTGTGTGCGTGCATGCGAGTCTGCGGGGTCTGCGAACGAGTCGGCGGCCATACACACACACACACACACACACGTATAGGATTCGAAAAGTAATAGATAACAGTAGTAGTAGTAGTGTTAGTACAGCAGGGTTTTATGTATGTGTGTGTATGTATAAACACCAGCTGAGAGAGAGAGAGAGACAGCGGCGGTGCTGCAGGGGGTCGGCGGCGGCGGCGGCGCATCAGCTGAGCTTATAGCTGTGCGTGTGCCTATATATATATTTACTACTACTCGGCCTGCAGCCGGTATAATATATATAATACGTATTAGGAGCTTCGCGTCTTAGATGCTAAACTTGCGCGTCTTTTAACGCCTCGCTTATGGCGCGGTATGGGCGATTGTTGTTTGCGCGCGTAATAATTGCGCGTCTTTAGTGCAGTTACCGCGGCTGTATGTATACGTCCGATGCGCTGATAAACGTGTACCGGCTAATCAGTCTCGGGCGGTACACTTTAACTAATAATGGCATTCGCGGTAAAGAACAAAAAATCATTCGTCTAATTTTCATTTTTTAATTATATCGGCTATGTAGCCAAAGAAAGCTGCACCAGCCCTTTTTTGCGGTAGTCTCTCTATTTAGGAAGTACCTAGTTTTTGGATTCATTATTCAAAAATGAATAATACAATTCACTCCTCGCTCTTGGGGTTCGTAAAGGATTTTTTCGCCAGTCAAATGGTCAAATGGTAATGTCATACAAAATTATGATTTTACAGTTGATATACTGTTACCTTTTCTCGTTAATTTTTTTTAACGACTGATTTATTCACAGCAGTACTAGTATCAGTATGTGTATCAGCCAAGTAGCAGATATTAGGCGCGAAAAAGCAATAAGAATTTCTAAAGTTTCTACAAATAACTTGTGATTATATATCCTGATTACGTGGTGATTAATGTATTTTCTGTTTGCCAACAGCAACGGGGATACGATCGACGATTCTTCGGGCTTACCCCTCGGCGAAGAATTCATCGAGGAGGTCGAGGACCTGAAGCCTCTTCTGCAGATCCGTCAGGAGGACGAGGACGAGGAGGGCCAACAACTGCAGCATCAACACTTGCTGCAGCAGTGCAAAAGCAACGGGGTCACCAGCAACGGTCACCACAACAACAACAACAACAACAACACGTCGACGTCGAGCTCGTCGTCGCGCAAACGCAGCCATTCTAGCAGCAGCAGCAACAACAACAACAACGTCCAGCAGCAAGGTGTTTCGACGGTCAACGGCGGTAGCAGCAGCAGCAACAACGGCGGCCGCTCATTTTCGCGTAATCATATGGAGCAGGAAAAGAGAATGAGGCGAGAGATCGCCAACAGTAACGAGCGCCGACGCATGCAGAGCATCAACGCCGGATTCCAATCGCTGCGGACGCTGCTGCCTCATCACGAGGGCGAAAAATTATCCAAGGTCGGTATTTTTTTTTTTTATTTATTTTGGCTTTTGTTCCAAGAGAAACTCGTATAGAGGTGCGATCGTACATTGCAATCTTTTTAATTGAGTTTACCCATGTTGACGTTTTTGAAATGACGGTGTTTCAATCTGAAAAAACAATGTCAAGCATTGAAAACTCATTTGTGTTATTACCTGAAAAATGGTTTATGTTGGCGAAAAATTTCATTGCTGCGTCGCCTGTAATCAATCGATATATTTTCATTGTGAATTGTTATAGTAACACAAACGAAATAACTGATCTAACGCATTTGGTCGAAACACCTGCATCGATTTCGACCACTTACAAAATTTTACCCAATAAGTAGATGAAAATAAATATCGCCTCTGAAAAATGAATCAGTGCCTAGAGGATTGATATTTATATAGTAATTAACCCCCGTCCAAGCGCCTCGCGCGATTAAAACTAACTTGTAGTTCGAAAACACATACAAGCTTTACTAATAATGGACTCATATCACATTGTGTTAAATTGCCTGAAAATCAGCTCTTTTGTAAACATGATCTTTCACCTTTGAATTATTTATTCCAACTTGACTCAAAGGTGCGGAGATTTGTTTCCCATGGTTCAACTCGTGATAATATATCTAGATACATTTTTACTATTTTACTTCGTGTTGTTTATTTAAGGGGTTAGATGGCTTTGTTATCAGATAATTAGATTTATTTAGTTCAAATAATTGAATTTCAAAAACCAAAAATAAGATTGATTTGAAATTTAAACACAGTAAAGTTTATCATTGAAAGAAACTGTAAAAAAATGTTCAGCTCTAAATATTTAAAATTGTCGATTTCCTACCAGTTTTTCTCGACCAGTCTTTTTTTCCTAGTACGCTAGATATTTTGGTGCAGGGTCATTTGAAAAATAAAAGTCGACATTTTTCTGAAAGTTTATACCTTCGGCCCCATGATTGAACGCAGGAATTGAAAAAAACCAAAATATGGAATATCAACTTTGAAGTTGTCATGCCTACTCCACAAATTTTGCAAGCCTTCTTCGGCGATCTCTGCGTTATACTTTTGAGCCATGTTCCGATGATGCTGCCGTACATATGCTGCGCATCGAGTGACAATAAAAACAAATGTTCGATCCCGTTTCCTAAAAATTTTACCGATGTCTTGCATACTGTTTCTAGTATTCGACTTTTGTGTCCCGAAAACGTTATCGGTACTCGCGCGCCAAATTCATATACATTTCCGATTATCCAATCACAAACTGCGTCGATGTACCTTTTATACCTTGGTTTATAGAACTGCATTTGTCTCGATCGAAACTGTATACTGTTTTTGTGCAGCGGTATTTCACATTTCGCGTGCGCTCGCTCGTGCGGTCGCAGACGTCTCGACCTATTTTCTTCTTCGGCTGCCCCAGACTCGCACGCGGAGCGCGTGAATGCTGTGGCTGCGGCTGCACAGGCTGCAGTGCAGTCGCATATTATATATATATACTGGTACGCGCGAGCTACCGACAGCTACCTAGAGCAGCTCCCCTTCCTCAAAAAGAATGATAAAATTAAAAATTCGACCGAATATTTGATGTGAAACATCTATATTTATTTATTATTTTTTTTTAATATGTAAGCTGGGTGGACGTCGCGTTCGCAAATAATTAAGATCAAAAAAGCAGGCATCATTTAAGTCGCGTTCCTCCCAGAGAAAGAGAGGGAGACACACGCGATGCAGAAAATTGCTGTAACTTTTTTGCGCCTATCGTGGGTTAGCAAAACTTTTCGTGGTTCTGCGTATTTCATTTTTTCGCATTATGAAATGTTCAGATTGATACTATTGGATCTCCCCACATAATCTTTTTGTAATTTTCAATAATTCAAATTTCAAAGAGGTTGAATTAAGGGGTTACATCGTTTTGTGGGACAAATTTTTTCCTCTTTTTTTGAAAAATTTTATTTCAAACCCAAAAGTCCAGTCAATTTGAAATTTTCACACAATGAAGTTTGTACAATGTTTGTTGATTTCCTAACAATTTTCCTCGGTCACCCTGTTGTCCTATGGTAAGCAGAATATGTCGTGAAAAAAATGAAGTTTGATGATTTGTCACGGGTTTGAATGATTTTTTTGTGCATATTAGGCAAAAATACTCACATATTTGGCAAAAAGGTTAAGGAAAGCCTTGCAATTTGGTCGACGGCCGCTGATGCACCCTGAAACTGTCTGAAAAGTCTCGCTATTTAGAAGAAGCGCGAATAAAGTCATGTCCCCGAGGATATGAACGAGCGCAGATCATAGAAAATAGTGAACTGTTTCCAATTATCACACCACCTTCCCGATTAGCTGTTAGCCTCCTATAGGAAGAGATAGAAGGAATCTTAAGGGTTCAAAGAGGGCTTAAATAATTATATATTTCTATTTATTGTATTAAGCTGAAAAAGTGAAAAAAAATTTTTTTTCAGAACACAGGCATAAGAGCCTTTTTCAATACCCCATTTGAAAGTACTTTGTCCAGTTAAATACTTACAAACACATAAATTAACTTGTATCAGCCTATGACCCTTCAGCGAAGAGCACTGAGAATATTTAAGCTGTTTGTCGTAAGATTCTAAGTGATAACTTGACACGACTAAGTTCTAGGTCATTTCCTTTTCTTCGATGGATCAATATCCATCAACGCAACCTCAAGCTAAGCATTTAAAATTTATCAAAAATAAAATATTTTATTAAATTGTATGTGGAAGTAGTCAAATAAGATTTTATGCTTAGCTTGAGGTTGCGTTGATGGATAATGATCCATCGAAGAAAAGGAAATGACCTAGAACTTAGTCGTGTCAAGTTATCACTTAGAATCTTACGACAAACAGCTTAAATATTCTCAGTGCTCTTCGCTGAAGGGTCATAGGCTGATACAAGTTCATTTATGTGTTTGTAAGTATTTAACTGGACAAAGTACTTTCAAATGGGGTATTGAAAAAGGCTCTTATGCCTGTTTTCTGAAAAAAAATTTTTTTTCACTTTTTCAGCTTAATACAATAAATAGAAATATATAATTATTTAAGCCCCCTTTGAGCCCTTAAGCCCACTTTGAGCCCTTAAAGGGTATGAAAAATTCCAAAAACGAGATGTATGAAATATGCGGATTAATAAAAATAACAAATAGTATATAAAAAAAAAATAGAAACATGGTTTATGTTGTGAAAATAGTGACTTGGAGCGAAGATTTCTTTATAATGATTTTTTTTCCTAGAGTTTGATTTAAGTACTCCACAGCCCTACTTTTAAGATCTTTTACTTTGAATGATAGTGTGTTTATTAATAATAAAATGAAGACTCATTTTTTTAGATTTATTTACTTTATTAATGTAGAAAATTCACAACATCAATTAACAAAGTGCCATAATTGTCATAACTACTTTTTGTCTGCAGCCGCCAGACAAATGCGATATAAATCTTCGTTATTTAGATTCTCGAGGATTATTTCACAGCACTCAAGTGGCAGTCGTTGGTGTATCAATTCCCAGAAAGGATACACTGCCCATCGTCGAAAAAAACCTCTCGATAGTTTCTCGCACAGATGCAGAGTATAAGAAAAGTTTCTCCTACCTCCGATAAATGCTTTCGAGACCCCAAACTCGAAGTAGTCGTTGTATGTGAGTCGCTTTTCCGCCTCTTCGGGTCGAAGCTGAATCAAGTCGTACAGCGACAGACTCGGAATCACCATCATCTTTTTCGCTTTACTCAAAAACTTCTCGTTCTCGTACCAACGTTTTTTTAAACTCGCCGGCCTCTCCAGCCAATTGTTTTCGGCGAAATGTTTCATGATCGTCATGGCTCCGGCTCGGTCGAGTTCGTATCCTCTTTTCACGAGGCGTTCGACAACGGCCAGAGCGCTAGACGCTTTTCTCAATTTAATATTGTGATGTTCCAAATACAAAAGATCACTCATGTCGTCGCCAAAATAACTCGAATCGGGAAAAACGAAATTAGTAAGATCAGCGCCACGATCCAAGAGAATGTCGACCGCATTCAGCATGAACTGCGCCACGGCCCATTGCAGCGGTGTCCGACCCTCCCTGTCCTTCGCGTCGACCTGTAGGATCTGATTACTTTCGTCGCAGATCTGGAAGAATATCTTGGGAAAGCCTTCGTTCCAGAACGTCCGACAAATAAGGTGCAGGGGAGTCCATCCCTTGACGTTGGGTGAATTCGGGTCGGCGCCTCTCTTGATCAATAATTTGACTAGTTCCTCGTTGTTGTCGTACGCAGCAATGTGAAGCGGCCTCCAGCCCCACCGGTCCTCGACGTCGACCTGCACCGTCCGCCCCATGTCATCGCAGACCTTGAAAAATGCCTCCGTCAAATACGTAGGTTGGTCGCTTATCTTGTGCAGAGCAGTAACTCCATCCTTGTCGGCCGAGTTGGGATCGGCGCCTTTTCTCAGCAGCAACTCCATCAATTGGCAGCCAATTTCCCTCGGGGTCCACTTCAGAGCCAGCTGCAGCGGCGACTGACCCGTTTTCGACACGAGGATATTGGGATCCTGTCCGAGCTCGAGGAATTTCTCGACGACATCGCGACATCCCGCCTTGCAGGCCGCATGAAAATGCGTGAAGCCCTCGTCGTCGATGTAATTCGCATCGAATCTGTCGTAAATTTTAAAGAGCTCGGGCACTATGAACCCCCGGTTGTAGAAGAGAGAGCGATGATCAGCCGCGCAATGTATCGGTGTGGCGCGACGCAAGACCAGCTCGCCGTTCTCGTCGACTTTGGGCTCGTCCCTGTAGCCGCTGCGAGCCACGAACTTGATGATTTCTATAACTACATCACGGTCCATTACCGATGAATTCATGGACTCCGTGAAAATGTGCTCGATTTCTTCGGGTCGAAAGATGTCTCGAAGATTCGGCAATTGGCCTTCCCAACCGGCGATCAAGGAGTGAAGTTCACGGAAAAAGTCGACACGTTCATTTTCGACTTTCCAATTGCCACTTTCTTCTACCAAACACTTC